CCTGTGGGGTGGCCGTGATAGCCGAGGCTCCCGTGACCTGTGGTGGCCGGTGATATCCTGAGGCCTCATCAGCCTGTGGTGCCCCTGTAGCCCGAGGCTCCCGTGGCCTGTGGTGGCCGTGATAGCCTAGGCTCCTCATGGCCTGTGGTGCCCCTGGTAGCCCGAGGCTCCCGTGGCCTGTGGTGGCCGTGGTGGCCTGATGGCTCTCATGGCTGTGGTGCCCGTGGTAGCCTGAGGCTCCCGTGGCCTGTGGTGGCTGTGATAGCCTGAGCTCTCATGGCCTGTGGTGCCCCTGTAGCCCGAGGCTCCCGCGGCCTGTGGTGGCCGTAGTAGCCTGATGGCTCTCATGGTCTGCAGGTGGCGGTGATAGCCTGTGGCTCGGTGGCCTGTAGCGGCCGTGATAGCCTGAGGCTCTCGTGGCCATGTGGTGCCCCTGGTAGCCTGAGGCTCCCGGGCCTGTGGTGCCCCGATAGCCTGAGGCTCTTATGGCCTGTGGTGGCTTTTGCTGGCGCTACCTTACATGCATGCAGTGAAGCGAGCGCCGCGGCTTGTCGATTAGTAATCTCCGCATCTGCCTGGGAGCGCGATCCGTGTCTCTAATTGTCGGGTAGTACGCTCCAATAACCAGCCATGGTATCAGCACGCGAGACCGCGCGCCATTGTACCAACAAAACGCCCTCCCGGCGAGGTCTCGGAAACACGCAGCTCACGTCGGCCTTGCGTGTCGGAATCAGCAGCCGACAGCAGGCAGGAGCCTCGTACATCGCGCGACACGCCGGCACGACGCGGACTACCGGTCCACGCCACGTGAAACGTCATTCGCCTCGCACGCCGGCAGACGTATCCACGTGGCAACCCCTGGTCGGACGAGCAGCCGGAGATCCCACCAGCCCCTCGAGGGGGTCAGCAGAGGTCACGGTCCGCGGGCGGTCGGCGGCAGATGAGCAGGGCGGACCGGGGTAGCGAGCCAACTTAGTGGGTCAGCTGCGCAGTGAGTCAGCGCGGTAACTGGCAGAGCCGCGCGCGCCGTCCTGTGCCCGATTCCCACGTCAGGAGACCGGCCGACCGGCCGACCGGAACAGGTTCTGCGCTCGAGTCTGCGGGCCTGCGACGTTCAGCCAGACAGCCATCCGTCGCCGTCTGCGGCCGACCGGCGGGCGCTGTCGGGACAGACACCGGCAGAGGGCCAATCATGAGCCGCGGCAGAGTCTGCCGGCGGCGCCTGAGGTTCGCCGCCGCTGTTGGGACAGACAGCCGCGGTGGGCCGATCATGAGCCGCGACAGAGTCTGCCGGCGGCACCGGAGGGCCGCCGCCGCAGCCAGCGGCTGACGCATGGCCCGCCTGAACCGCAGACAAACCGCCGATCAGCCGTCACGCCCGCTATGCACCGCAAACCGCCTCTCTCGGCGGTTCTGAGACAGCTCTTGAGGCGCCCGCTGTCCCCGAAGCCGGCTTCAAGCCGGCCTCGGTGGGGCCGGGCGGTGGTGCTACCGAAGGGGCGGGGGAGGGAGGCGGCAGCGGTAACGCTGCGCACGCCAAGCTCGTTGCGTGTGATTCTTTCGCTTATCTCTTGTATGGCTATATCAGACAGGATGATGATAAAAATAGCAGTCCGGATCAGGACCAAAAAGCTTCAGTGTGGTGCATCTCCTGCGGCACCGAATGGAGAGGAACAGAGGGAACAGTGGCCACTGAGGTCCAGATCTTGCCCCGGCCCGCCGGCGGCGCACAGCGGAAGACGGTGAGCGTGTGTCGGGCGGTA